ACCATTCATTCTAACATTGTCATAAGAGTTGTTCACTCAAAAGCAAAAGGTAAACGTAATGAAAAAGCAAAAAGGTCTGTGTCGGCAATAGTTTCAAGATTAGTGTCTTGACTAGCAGGTTTGCGGTTTGCTGCAATGTGATTGTCATAGAACTCTCCACGTAAGAACACATTGATAGGACTATCAATTTACTTATATAGTTACTTGAGGGAAAAGATGTCAATACCGCCACTAGATTCTTCCCAATTGTGTGTTTCACCTAGCTAGTTTACTCCCCAATATGACCATAACTTTCTGCGTGTTTCTTCGATCATCCAAAATGTAGTGAAACGGTCATTGTCTAATAAAATAAAAGTGTAAATATGGGGATGTAGCTCAGATGGTAAAGCACTCGCTTAGCATGAGAGAAGTAGAGGGATCGATAACCCGCATCTCCATTCTTCGTTTTTTCCCCTGTATAGGTCGCCAACTCCGTTTGAGCAGTTTCACATCTCTGAGATTGCCGAGGACCACAATCTCGGTCCAGAACACTACGATCTCTATGGCAAATAAAAAAGCCAAGGTTAGGAATCCAGTGCAACTCTCCATTCTCCGGTACAGCACCGCCATAGCAATCCCCGCCATTCCCTAATGCAGAGAAAGCCCCAAATCGGGGAGAAGATAAAATTGTCGAGAGAAGAGTTGGATAAGATTTCTCACGGGAACGATGATTTCTGGAATTTTGCCAGATTTGACAATGATGATTTCTGGTTCTCTTGGGAGAGATTTGAGTAGAAATAATATGGAGGGTCCATTACCATTACCAGCATTCCCTCATAATGTCACATTCATAAACCTCTCAAAAAATAGGTTTTCTGGTTCAGTTTCTCAAAACTAGGAATTGTGAATTTGGCTGAAAATCAATTATTTGAGAAAATTCCTAGCTCTATTGGATCTTTGTACCAGCTTGAAACGTTTAATTTGCGTGACAACAGTTTCTCTGGATAAATACCTTGGCCTTTAGGGGATTGCAGTGCCTTGCAATTTGTGGACTTGAGTTATAAATTTATAATAGATTCTCAGGAATAGTACCAGCTTGGATTGGAGAAAGGCGAAGATCGCTAGCTTTCCTTCTCCTGAGATCCAATGATTTTGCCCTTGTAGTTATGCTGCTTGACAAATATTGTGCTAATGGATCTCTCCAACAACAATCTATCTGAAAGCATACCAAGGTGCATGCATAATCTGACTGCATTAACAAAAAGGTAAAGTTCAATCAGTAAGCATGGTTTATTAATTATTGATGAGTATTTCTTTTATGCAAGAAGCTACGTTGACAAAGCATCTGTAATGTGGAAAGGAATGGAATGTGATTATGAGGATGGAGATCTCAAAAGTCTGAGGATCATCAATCTTTCAAGCAACAAATTAACAGGAGAAATTCCAGTCAAGATTTCGAGTCTCTCCGGACTGCATCAGCTGAACTTATGAAGAAATCATTTGACAGGAAGGATTCCTTCAGATATTGGGAAGATTAGATAGTGAGAATCACTTGACTTGTCACAAAACCAGCTTTCAGGTCAGCTTCCTTGGAGCATGTCCCATTTAAATTTTCTCAACACTTTGAACCTGTCATATAACAACTTTTCTGGAAGAATCCCATTATCAACCCAAATGCAGACCTTTGATGCTTCTGCATTTGTTGATAATCTTGAACTCTATGGGCTTCCTCTAAGACCAACTTGCCTGGAAGAAGAAAAATCAAAGAGCAAACCAACAAACTGTGGTGGCAAAGACAACAAAGAAGATAGTAGAATTCTGGAAATCGTTTGAACTAGGTGCAATCATTGGTTTTGTGGGAGTCTGGTTGTGAAGTTAGATCATCCTTGGAAACATCTGTTGTTCAACAAATTGAGAGTCTGCCTCAACAACTTAAAAGACTGCCTTTATTTAATTGTAGCAACATTTCGTTTGCTAGTGACAGAGCATGTCCCCGGATTGTGAATAAAATTGAAGTTTTAAGAGCCATCAATCTCCCCCTACAGCCTGGAGAAGTAGGTACACATTTATGTCAATCTTGTATAACAGCTTTCATTACTTGATTAAAAAGAATAACAGAGCAAATCACCTCTTATTATTGCTTTTTAGGTTCAAGGAGTTTCATCACCCCAAGGACTCATCTTGCAAAATGAAATTCCAGTATTTATTTTCAGCTACCACAGGACCCCTCATCAACAATTCCAACCTATCCTCTTAATTTTATTTTATTATTTTTTTTCTTTTTTGAATTTAAAGGTCTGCTTAGATGGTTTGTTTTGCCCTTTTGTTTTTGTATAATCTAATTTGTAATAACTTCTTTGAAGCTGAGATACTCTGTTGGCTTTAGTTCAACTAAAGTTTGATGTTCTTAATATATGTTTCTATCACATTCTTCATTTTCTATTTTAATTGAATTCCCAATTTGTTTATCAAAAGATTCCAGATTTAGACTAGGAGAGAAACATAAACCCTAATTTATAGTCAAATGCTCACGAGATGTACTGTAGGACTAAAATCATCAGTTTTGATATGACTCTTTTTTTCTGTTTCCTCACAAAAATGGTGGAGGGTTGGAGATTTATATCAGCAATCAGGGTGATTTCTTTTGTCCTTTCCCCTGTTTCTTCATCTCCAGAAATCACAAAACTGGAAATCAGTTTTGTTTTATGTGACTAATTATATAATCTCATAGCTTTTCAACTTTTCTTCAAGCGTTTGAGTTAAAAGTGCTGCTGATTCACATCAAAGTAAGGTCTTGTTTTCTCTGTGCAGTGGGTATGTTTAAGTTATGTGCTAGGTCTGTTTATTTCAATGGAAACAACAATCTAAGCAAATCTCTTCTGCATGTTTTTGTTCCAAGTGACTCATTAGTAGATGATGATGATTTGTTTGGTTGCTCTTTTAATCTTTATGAGAATCTAAAGACTAGCGTGGATAATCTAATAGCAGCCATATCATTAAGGTAACAAGAGCAAGATGCAGAGCCATAAGATGATTTTTGATTTTGTTAGAGCAATTCCATCATATGCTTGATAACATTTTCTTGCTGCTGGTACTGCTATTTGAGTCATTTGAAGATGATGAATTATCAACTATTTTTTTTTAATAAATCTTTTCCAAGAATTTGAAATTAATGATCTAATAGTAGTTAATATAGTTGTTAACCTTCACTTCTTTACTTTTATTTATAACTGTAGCATCATTTGCCAAATTTGCAGTGCAATATTTAAATAAACAGAGGAGGTGGTTCCAATGGTCCTTGCCAAAGCCAAAAGGATAAACATGGATGATTAATTAAAATTAGAGAAACAGGACCATAGTTTTTCTTTTGGCTATAACTGGCCTATAGTTAGTTGTTCAGAGCCACACAGTTCATATTAGATTGGTGTGTTTAGATGGCTTGTTCTTTCGTTTTATATCGTATACTAGTTTGTAATGAGTTGCTTTGAAATTGAAATGCAATTTGACTTTTGTAGGTTTTAAATCAATCAATTTTGATGCAATCCATATAGGTTTCTTTCACATGCTTCATTTTCAAATTTAATTGAATTTCGAATTCCCTTAGCAAAAGTTTTCGAAGTTACATTAGAGAGAAACATAAGAAGTCCCGGTGTGGAAACCCTAATTCAAAAATTTAATATTAATATAAAGATCTTATCTTTAAATAATCGGAGGGTCAACAGGTGCGCATGTACGGATTTATATTATATGTTTTTAAAACAATGGAAATGTGAGGTACAAACATAAAATAAATAGAA